GAAGGCCTTTTCTGCCTTGTTAGGCGTCATCGGCTAGTGATAACCAACCCAAGTATGGCCGCTGAAATTGCTGCCACACCGAGATTTACATATATATGTCTGACAACGACCTGGGGAACCAGTATCGAAAACCTACACAACATAGTTATTTTATCTTTTCCCAACAAACTTCTTCCATTGAAATATGTATAATATGGTAGCTGGGCACTCACCAGTCGGTACGGAACTCGCTCGTTCCGTTATGTCTTAAGGCTTACTCTCGAATCCCGACAGCAGCCGCTTAGTGACTAGCATATTATAGGCAGAGATAGATTACCCACAAAGATAATAATAATAATAGTGTGAGGCTCGCCGATGCTTTTAAAGAACACACATGCTCCGTTGTGCCCGTTGCCTTGTGCCTCGCAGGATGCTGGATAGTGACTCGTAAAATATGATGAAAAGGAACTGACAAAGACTATGGAAACCGAGTGGTTTACCCTTGGGATCGGGTTTAACTGCCTGAAGAAGTCTACTAAGCCAGAAATGCCCGTTTAGGTCTCGCTTTTTTTGTCGGTTCCACTTCAACATATATACAGATTTACTTATGCAAAATGACATCACCAAAAAGACAAGGGAGACTGTAATGGCCACTTCTGACTTAATAGCCGTAATCAACCAGCTATTCACAACCACATGTGGTGCACCACCCCAGACTCGAAACCGCGGCCTCCTAATTAGAAGTCCAACGTTCGAAGCATTGAGCCATGGGCTCGCTGGCTTGCCAGTTTAGATCGGACATGCCGACATTGGTGGACGAACGCTCATCGGGTGAGCCCCAAGGCAGAACTGGACGGGTGAGTCCCATACTCGATCGGCGGGTGTTCATCCGCCAATATATACACATGTGTACGAGTCCTATTCATAAAGCGTTCAACTTCTAGCAGACGACATCTCATCTCTTCTGCCTAAGTTGACGAGTTTATCTGCACGGAACTGTCCATAATTTCAGTTGGATAAAACGGTAAACTAATAGCTTTTCAAGTGCGTACGGTTTAAATTCTAAGGTCAAATATTTGAGAATCAGCCATTCTAATGCTCAAAATTTACTCTACGCTTGTGAGCATGCTATCAAAGACACGAGATCTTTTTAGGCATTAAAACCATGAAAAAAGTCGGTAATATACCCGAGAAATGCAGGTTTATTAAGCAACTGGGACCAATTCGAGCTTCTCGTTAATTAAAAAATGCAAAAAAATCGATGGGGGCTCCACTTATATTTCAAGAAGTTCGCGACTTTCATTTCAGCCAGAGCCAAAGAGCGATAACAAGCGCATTTTTGGAAGACACCTGAAACTGACAACAGTTATTTTTTTGGACGTGCGCCCAATAAAATCTTAAGTATACTACTTCTCACAATGATCAGTGCGTAATATGCATTCTTGCTGTGATGCCATTACTCAATGAAATCTTTTGACTATTAACAGGCATATTTAACAGAGGACAGCCCTCTCTGCGGCTTACCTGATTTCGTTGCATTGGGTCTTTTCAGCGTCTCCGTTTAAAGTATGACACGGTTCACATGACAACCGTACGCGCGCTTTGTTTAATGAGGGCGACTGCACACATCGTTCAGGTAGCAGTCTTGTCTCCATGCGGGCGATCGCTACCAGCGGCAGTGCGAATGAGCAACAGAAATACACTTCAGTCGCATCAGTAGTATATTTTCTTGTACTGGAACGTGTGCCAGCTCTCCAGGAAATTGTGGCGTACCAGAACTTATTTCACAAATTCTGAAGATTTTGATGAGGATTATAATAGTCCACAAGTTAAACATCAGCACAACTGTCCACTGAAAATTCAGTAACGCTTAAGTTGACCTTGAAAAGACGTAAATTCTTGATCCTGTGAATATTTTGGCAGACGTCGCTCCGCACTCTAACTGCGAGTTCGGCTTCACGCGTCACGTAGACAAACGGTCTTTGCAAGACGGACATTGACAGCTCTACTCAA